GAGAAGAGGATAAGGGGAAATGGTGAAAACCAAGAAAAGGGTAACAGGCGGGAGAGCAAGAGTATGGAGTAAGGAGACATGAAACACGGAAGGTACCCAAGGAGAGCACTAGATGTGAAAAAGCACCAGTGCACACCGCTGCCTCGTTCCGGAGCGCACAGAATTCCACAGCCAGCATGCTCTATGAGCAATGATCAGCGTTTGACCCTGGGTCTCACCGTCTGAAAAACAAGCCTGATGATTGACTCGACCAACAGGGGCATACTGCAGCTATGGTGATATCAAGACCAAATCTGTACCTCTGGTCTTAACATCTACAACTATGTGACTCACTAGAATAGCTCCTTAAATGCCCACTTTGTGCTCAGGGTTGTATCTGCAACCCTGACAAAGCATCAAAGGAAAGAAAAATAGAGTTACAAAATAGAAATCATGGAAATATAGGACTGGAAGGAACCTCCAGAGGTTGTCTAGTCCAGCACATGCACATGCCCTGAGGCAAGATTATGGATACTTACGCTTTTCTGGACATGTGTTTATCTTGTTTTTAAAAACTTTCATAAATCTCTGCCTTTTTTTAGAATAACCCTCAGACTGAAAATACCCAGAGACTCCTATGCCACCAAAATAAATAACAAATATGAACGGTTTTCAGGATGGAAGTCAGACCTTCCAAGAACTTACTGTAGCCAAACTGCTGTTGAAATTCAGCCTCGGAAGCAAAACAAGGAACATGGTTCTGTTCTTGAGATACTGTTTCTTCTTTTTTCCCCAAGGCTGTATCTAGACTGGCAAGTTTTCCGCAAAATCATCTGCTTTTGCAGAAAAACTTGCCAGTTGTCTACACTGGCTGCTTGATTTTCTGGAAAAGCACTGACGATCTCATGTAAGATCGTCAATGCTTTTCCGGAAATACTATGCTGCTCCCGTTCAAGCAAAAGTCTTTTTCCAAAAGACTTTTGCGCAAAAGGGCCAGTGTAGACAGCTGAGATTTGTTTTCCGCAAAAAAGCCCCGATTGCGAAAATGGCGATCGGGGCTTTTTTGCAGAAAAGCGCATCTAGATTGGCCACGGACGCTTTTCCACAAAAAGTGCTTTTGCGGAAAAGCATCCTGCCAATCTAGACGCGCTTTTCCAAAAATGCTTTTAACGGAAAAGTTTTCCGTTAAAAGCATTTTCGGAAAATCATGCCAGTGTAGACGTAGCCCGAGAGTATTAGCCAAGCTGTGCAACTGGGGCCTGAGCTACTGCCCTCAGTTGGGGGCTTTTGTCTCATATAGAGCCTTAGGTCTACGTCTCTGCTAACTTAGCTAGCCCTCATTGCAGCAGTACCAGAGTCCCTCACAACTTTCAGCACATCTATCTGTACAATCTGCCTGGTGCAGGGAACTGAGGCCCAGCGCTTCAAACGCTATTAATGGGACTTAGTACCTAAATATTATTGCCCATCTGGGCCTAAGTCCATGACAGCAGAAAAGCTGATTCCCAGATTAGTCCAGGTCTGCAGGCCATCCCTGCAGTCTCCCATGTTTGAACCATGAGGCCTTTAGATTAAAGCAGGAGCATGTGACTTGAGACCCATGTCTGAACCTGAGATTTGGAGAGAGGGGACCAGACCCCTCCCATCTACTTCCCCCTCTGACATCAATACCCAAGATCTGTTTTGTTGCCCAGAGTTTTTATTCCTCTAGGACTCTGCATTTCAAGTGGGAGCTCTGCTGTCTACCACCTGTCAGGAACGTAATTTAAACAGAAGGGCCTTTTGTCATTATTTCTGGGACTGTGGCTGACTCAGGGCTGTGATTTCATGTCCAAGGCATTCTAGTGTGAAATACCTGTTCAGCCATTTATTTGTCTCCTACCTGATTACTGTCTGCTCGGGTGGCTGGATAAATCAACTCAGAGGATTCTGTCGACCGTCTGATGTAGGGCATGGGAAGTTGTATTGGACTGAAAAGTCTGTTCCAACATTAGATTTTCTTAAATTTTAGTGCATTCAAGCATCAATTATAGGAAATTGAAAAGTATCAAATGTATCAAGTGACAGAAATAAAAGGAAAGTAATATTTAACAAGGCTCAAAAAAGAACAGAAATATTCATAGAGACTAGCTCCATCACTGGCTGTTAGCTAAGATGGGCAAGGGATGCGCAGTACATTTACATTAGATTTCCTCATTTGAGGAGCAGCTACTCACTGAGCAACAACACAGGTGAGTAGCTGCGAGGAATGGTGGGAGCTGGGAGGTAGGGAGACCTGAAACACCCCAGCCAGCTGACTGTGGCTTTCAGCTGAAAGAGGCTGCCCTGCGCTCCAGCTGATCGGCAGCTTCTCCTCTGCGCCTACCCACGTGGAGCGTGAGCACCCTGGCTGAGCACTATGGCCAGCTGGCCGGGCAGCCGCTT